CATTATATCTAAGATATTTAAGTAGACATGTTATGTGCATTTTTAGTTGTATTGGTCTATGACTGTAATAAACTTTTTAAACTTTAAACTTTATCCAACACATCCTTGCACATAACAATCAATCACATAACTCTAGTAACCTCAACTAAAGATATTTTATACATCTTAGGTGGCCATTTGATGAAGGAGAACTTAAGCCTTTCTCTCAAGGCCTGGGGCTGAGATGAAGGCAACATCATGGAGACATAGCAGAAAACAGATATTGTCAGGGCAAGTTTGCACCATGATTAGTTTTAAGTGGGGAAAACCTCTATGAATGTTATAAAGAGCAACAATAAGGTTACATTTTAAAACAAATAATCTTAATCTAAAGGCATATCAGGCACCCGTTTCCTTGAATACTAACTACATTAAACTCAAAAGAAACACTTGAGACCAAATAAAAAATTACAGCAGTAAACTTGGCAAACCAATACGAATGAACAAAATACAGTTCTCTTCTTCACTTAATCTATGGGTGTACATTTATTTCCTAATATTTTATCCTCTCTTCTTCACTACCAAGGAACATATCCATATATAATGCTTAAAAATAATGAAATTAACTCAGTTACTGAGTATTTTATGCACCTATTCATTTTAATTTCTAAAATGACTATATCCTAAACTCCCTTTTTGAATCCAACTTTAGAAAACAGCTAAGAGCAAAAGTCCATCAACTGTAGCTGCTAGTATTAAACACAGTTGCAGATTCAGAAATCCCAATTTTTAAAAAAAATCCTGACAAGTTTATTAAAGGACAGAGAGGAACACAACCTTAAATTAAAAGCTAGATCACATATGATACGAAATATAATTCACATTCTCATATTTAATGCAAGATGAGACTCCCATGAAAAATAGCCTTAATTCCTACTAAAAAAAGCCCAAGTTATTCACAGTCCTTAACAAGATGAGGACTGTGAATAACTTGGGCTTTTTTATTTCACACATGAAAACTCTATCATCCTTACTGCCTGCCATTTCCAGCCTGAACCAGAACTCAGAGATGAACTGATGGAGACAGAATAATTTAGATATGCCAGGACCTGCCAGGGCTGATGTTGGCTGATACAGTGTCTTCTCTCTCATCCCATTTAAAAAAAAATTATGGGCAAAGGTTGGCAGGGTGAGCAAGTAAACAGTTACAGATGCTCATTTTATGTATGTAGTTTCCTTTTACATTTTATAATGTTGTTATTCCAAACAAAATGTATTTATTCCCTAATTTAGGGGCTTCATAACTGAAAGAACACACGTTTGACAAAAAAGATAACCATTCAAACACACACACCTCAAACCATCCCATGACTTCCACAAGAAGCTGATTTTGCGAGTTTAGAACAGGAAGAAGAATTGTGGAGAGAATGCGGGGCAAAGAAGAGTGAGAACACGAAGAGGAAAATGGGGAGTGTTACTCAGTCCTTCAGGGAGAACCACGGCTCAAAACAAGCAAGCCGGCGCACATACCGAGACCCCGCCTTCCTTCAGCGTCTCGATGGCGCAGGCCAAGCACAGAGGCGAAGGCATGAACTCCAGCAGCCAGTGAGGGTCGTGCCGCGAGTGGAACTGCTCGCAAACCAACGGCTCTGAGACGAAGCTCGCCATCCCGTCACCTCACCGGCTCTCGCACATACAACGACAGCTGCAAAGAAGACGGACAAATTTGGCGGGATAGTTTAACGCAAGCGCGTTGCAAAGCCAGCATCTGTTGCTATGGTGACCCCGATGACGGCGCCTGGAGGGGGTCGCGGACACAGAGGACTTGCTTTCAGCACTAACTCTATTACAGTAGCTGCTTCTCCGTCAGTACCTCAGCCTGATATTTGATTTGGTTTGGTGTTGGTTTCTTAGATGTTAAGGGTCTTCTCCCTGTATGAAGTTATACTACTATCTACCAATCCTTGAGTCAGTAAAAAAAAAAAAAAAAAAGAGTATGCCAGCATGCATTATGAAATTTGCTGTCACACTGCCAATCCTTCTACTGCCTCTGTCTCAAGTCACAGCAGTCACACCTGACTTCCAATATACGAGGTAATAAAGCCTAATGCATACTGAGGATGCCTCTGGCCTGGGTTGGAATAAGCAGGGAAACATTACTTTAATGACTTAAGCATGTGTCCCTCATGGGCTGAGGACAAGGTGAAGGGGGGTCCATAGCAGAAAAAATATTATCAGAGCATATTTGTACTTTAGGTACAAAGATACAATAGGACTACAACTATAAGCTTCATTTTAACTCAATAAATAAATAACCCAAATGCTCCCTGAGTGACTGCCAATTATTCTTGGATCTATTTATTTTCTATTTATTAATAGTATCTTATAATTTTGTAATTTTAATTGACTTTAACTGTTTTGTAACCCACCCAGAGTCGTTTCAATGAGATGGGTGGTGACAAATTTGATATATAATTAAAAATAAATATAAATAAATAAATAAATAAATAAAGGATTTCATTGAAGAGATATACTGTATTTTTAATGTTGTTTTATTTT